TATGTTTGATGAGGAAACCAGGGAAAGATTTTGCTGAATGTGTTCCCTATATTGTACTTAGTTGTCTCATTTGTTATGTGCACAATATTCTTAATATGCAAATATTATTACATAAGAATCAATAGCATTTACATTTATATAACCAGGAGGATGTCTCAAAGCATTTGAATAACTTTTGCTGGGTACAAGGGGTGGGTGGGAAGTGAAGGAGATAGGAAAAAAAATTAATAATGATAAATATCCTTGTATTTGATATAGTGTCTAATCACATTGGTGAGATGTCTCAAAGGGCTTCACAGAATATCCTGTAAAGTGAATTAACTGGTTCAGGTGTATATTTTGGAAGGATAGAGTATATTAGAGTATATAAGAGCGCTTGCATAATCCTTGAATTTGATATCATGCCGTAGAAACATCTCAGAATGCTTCATAAGATTCATGTCAAGTTGTGTATCTTTGAAGGTGAAATGTCCCATAAAGCGAATGACTAATTTTTTTATTTAGAATAATCCTTGTGTGTTTAGCGCCTTTCATATCGGGACCACGTGAAATGTAAATGTATATACTTTTACGTTTGTATTGTATTAGCAGGATTTGACTGTGACATGTGGTGATTGTAGGCGAACACAGTAACCAATTTGCTCACGAAGACACTAGGAGAAACTCTTCTCTTTTCAAGTAGTGCTACGGGATCTTTTAACACCCCCCTGAACAGATAGATAGGACCTTGGGTTATTGTTTCATCCAAAGCATATTGTTGTAATGAGTTTGTATTTACAGTTTGTTGCTCCTTTTGCATAAAGTGCTGGTCCCCAGAGTGCTTTACAGAACATATTCGAAATGAAAGTGAATAATTTTGGCGGATTTGGAGCTGATCTGTGCCAGCAGTGTCCCCATAAATGAAATTAGTATTTTTTTTTAAAAAAATGTTAATTTAGAGGAAAGCGTCTCTGTAAGGTTCCTTTTCAAGACTGAAGAGCTTTAGCTGATCAATCAATGCTCCTAACACTGGGAATTGTCCTCACTACTCTCCTCTTGCACTGCCTCTAGGGCCCGGGCTCCCCATCTTGTGTTTTGCTTGATTTTGGCTTCTTGGGATCTGAACTCAACTGATACGACAATACTGCTCAGAATCCTGTTTGCCTTGTTTATATTTGATAGTAACTGAGAGTAGTACAGCCCAGGAGTCCTCCCGTTTTTTCCCCGCTATTTTCATTCCCCCCCCCCCCCAAAACCGATAGCAGAACTCCAGGACGAAGGTAAGAGGCTGTTTTTCGGATTGCCTCTTTTTTTTTGTCAGCCGGGTGTCTGAAACATGGGGAAACCCATTGCCAGGCTTAAGAGTATCCAAACCAAGCTGAGATTTCCTACACATGGAAATTGCAGTGATAGCTTGTTGGAATGGGTCAGGATCACCTCTCTTAAGCGGAGCCTGTGTTTGTAGAGGAACAAAGCACAATGTATTGGGGAATGCCTAACCCTACGGTAGCCACGAAGAGACGAGAGTGACTCTCTGTACAATTTCTTTTGTGTGAGTGTTGATGGTTTAATCACAGAATTTATTTTTGTAGATTTGAAAATGGTGAATTGTATGTCAGGGGTCACAGTGTATTGAGCGTATTACAATGTAATACAGTACAATTTACATTCATATAGCATCTTTCATGTCGGGAGAATGTCTCAAAGTGTTTCACAGTGCTGGACGGGCATCCAAGCTGTGGGTGGGAGCCCAGGAGTGGAGAGGAGAAAGATGACTGAAAGAGGTGTGATTTGAGATCAGCCAGCCAATTTGTACACAGCAGTATCCCAAAACAGCTGTGAAGTGAGTGACCAAGGAGGAGTCCTGTAACTCGGGAGTCCTGTAGCTCGGTGGTTAGAGCACTCGCTTCGCAAGCGATAGACCTGGGTTCGATTCCTGTTAGGGCAAAACCTTGGGCAAGTTTCCTTACTCCACACCCCTGATAATAATCCCTCAAGAAAAAAAAGAAAAAACAATAATAGAATTGGTCATTTTGAACCCACGACTGTTTGCGGGACGCTGCTGTGCGCAATTGGCTGCCGCGTTTCGCCCACAATAAACAGTCAATTCACTTTACAGTATATTCTCGAAGACATGAAAAGTGCTATATCAAATGCAGGGATTATTTATATTATTTTATCTGGAGAGATAACTTTCTTCCCTTGTCGGGACATGGCATAGATGGGGAATTCAATTGAACAGGGCACAGATCGAGAGCTCAGTTTAACTTCTTGAGGGACTATTACACCAACCAACTAACAACCAGGTTTCTACTTAATTCCTCAAAATGAAGAATTGATGTATTGATCCATACTTCTTTTCTTAAAAAAAGTTGTCTTTAATCTTCTGTCTTTTTCCCCTCCCTCTCTCTCTCTCTCCTCCCTCCCCCCATTTGCTAACCTCCTTGCCTGCGTCAGAAGGGTAGTTTGGGAAACAATTTCAATGCTGTAGCTCTTCCCAAGCCCCCCCTGCCCCCATCCATCCCAGGGTCAGGTAGCTTGTTAGCTGTTAATCCTTAAAAGTCTCTCCCTCCCAAATTGCCCCAGTTCTGACGAAGGGTCGTGGACCCGAAACGTTGACTCTGGTTTCCTTTCTTCATAGAAAATATGGAAAATATAGCCCGACCTGCTGAGTGTTCTGTTTTTGTTTCAGATTTCCTGCATCTGCAGTATTTTGCATTTTGTAATTGTTGTTGCTGTCCCTGGCCTGAAATCATTCCCTCCAGGATGATTTACTTGGTCAGCTGTGTGACTGACACACTGGGGAATCAGTCCCCGTCTGAAACAGACGGAGAGTTCTACGGAAACCTTAGACAAAATGGGCTTTGAACTCAGGCCAAGACTGGGTGGCATTTCAGGCCTCTGGTCCATTAATGTGCGGCTTAAAAAATAAGTGGTGCGGCTCACAACTTACTGAAGACTACCTCTATTTACTTCCCGGGTTGTATATATTTATGGTACTCAGAATAATCCTTGCATTTAAAACATTTGAATAAGCATCTTATCACGTCGTTGAGGCGTCTCAACGCTCTTCACAATATTTTACTGTAAATGAATGGAACTCCAGTCAAACACCTTATTTTCAGTGTCAAGGCTATTATTAGAGGCTGAAAATTATGAACTGACGGAAGAACCAGACTATGATGCTGGACTGTTTGTGTGTAGCAAAATGTTCTATTGCAGCTGCCTTTTACTTCTTTTTCATAATCAGCAATAATAATAATCCTTGCTTTCGATAGACAACAACAGCGACTTGCATTCATAGTGGCTTATCATGTCGCCGAGATGTCTCAAAGGCACTTGGCAAGATTTCATTGTGAAGTGCTGGAAATTTCCAGGCGTTTTGACAGGGAGGGAGGGGAGTGAAAGGGGCGTATTAATAGCCTGTGTAGCTCTACTCAACATCTTATTAAGTTCCTTTCTGAATTGACATACAGAGATTAAACAAGAGCTGCTGGAAAGCTCAGTTATTGGTTAACGTTGAGGGTAGTACTGCTCACCCATATTTTTTATTATTCTCTTCCCTCCACTGATCAATCCTCCTCCTCCTCCTCCTGTGGCTTCAGATCTTTAATTGACGTTTGCATCGCTGTGAGAAAGGGTTGTCAGCTATCCGTGGGCTCATCTTTGCTGCTTCTCGCCTCCGGGAAACCGGGCATTGTTAACCTGGGATGACTTTCATGAATTCACGGCCTATAAGGAAGCAACACTTTGCTTTCACTTGTTGTTGGCTTTACTTTCCCTCCTCCTGCCCCCTCCAACATCACATGCTGTACACATGTTACGATGCTCCATGTTATAACCCACTACGACTCCATGGCTCATCTCTCCTTTTATTCTCTTCTTCTCACCCTCCATTCCCAATGTGCACAGGAGCGCGCACACGCAAGAAACTTTTTTTTTATTTCCAGAGTTGTGCTTTGAAATGTCTGTTATCCAGGTCATGTTTCCCTTGCAGATTAAGCGTACGCCAGTGGGTGTCTGTGTGTGTGTATGTGTGTGGAAGCTGGGCTCTTCAGTCTTGAGAGAAGATGTCTCAGAATGGATCTAATAGAAGTGTGTTAAATTAAAAATGGGATTGACAAAGTAAACCTAGATCAATGCTTTAAGATTCACCAAACCAGTGGAACAAGAGGACAAAGGTTTAGTGCGAAGGACAAGATCAGGAAGTTTTGTCTTCATCTACAGGCTAATTAATGGCTGGAATAGGTTGGGTGGTTGGGGCCAGGATACTGTGACTCATTTTTAAAAAAAGTAACTCATTGCTGTGGTGAAGGATGAGATGAGATCACACAATTGATCTGGATGAAGAATCTGATCTGATCTCTTCAGAACTCTTGGCCTGCCCGTCTATGGAATAAGCTGTTTTTTAAATGAGTCTAATGTTCTACCATCTTTGCTGGCAACCTGTTCCAGTTGTGGATTGTCCTCTGCGTAAGGGAAACACTTCCTGTCATTTGTCCTGACCTTGCTGTTGACAACTCAAAGTCCCTCTTCTCCTAAAGTGTTGATCTGGGTTTACTTTTTCAACAATAATAATAAAAAGAATCCTTGCATTTGATATAGCACCTTATCACGTTGTTGCGATGTCTCAAAGCACTATACAGAATATACAGCAGTGTCCCACAAACATTGTGAATTGAATGACTAATTGAGTTTAATTGAGCTCGGTAAACAGAGGTATGTGGAGTAAGTAAACTTGCCTAAGTTTTGGCCCTCCAGGGAATCGAACCCAGATCCTCCTTAAAACACGTTTTAAATTTTGTATATATCTATGAGATCCCTCCTGTTCTCTTAACATTGCTGAGCTGAGATATACTGAAGTGCTTTCTTCATCCAAACTAATCTTGTGAGACAAGTGTTATGTTGTTTCCCCATATGGATTGGCATAAATGTAGTTAAAATCTACCAAAACAGGGATTATTTGTCAAGTTTTCTGTTCCCAGTAAATTCTCACTAAAATGTCTTTATTTTCTTCACAGACGAGAGATGATTTCCTGGGACAAGTTGACGTACCTCTTAACCATTTACCGGTAAGTTTGGAAATTTGACACTTATTTTGGGCTCACAGGTGTCTTAAGCATCTGGTAATCTGAGGCACAACTAAGCTGTGCACCAAATGCTGCAGTATCGGAGGAGAGGGTAGAGGAAATGGATAGGATAAGTATAAACAGAGAGGAAGTACTGAAAAGGTTGACTGCGCTGAAGGTAGATAAGTCGCCCGGTCCAGACGGGATGCAACCAAGATTACTATGGGAGGCACAGATACAAATAGCGGAGGCTTTGGCTACAATTTTTCAACCTTCGTTGGACACAGGAGTGGTGCCGGAGGACTGGAGAGTGGCCAATGTGACTTCCCTGTACAAAAAGTGACAGAAGGATAAACCTGGGAACTACAGGCCAGTCAGCCTAACATCAGTAGTGGGGAAACTGGAGAAACCCTCCTGGAGACTATAATCCGGGACAGAATAAATCTTCACCTAGAAAAATATGGGTTAATTAGGGACAGCCAACATGGATTTGTTAAAGGCAAATCTTGTCTAACAAATCTAAGAGAATTTTTCGATGAGGTAACGGAGAGGGCGGATAAAGGTAGTGCAGTTGATGTAGTTCATATGGACTTTCAAAAGGCATTTGAGAAAGTGCCACATGAAAGACTTGTAAGAAAGATAGAAGCCCCTGGTATAAAAGGGACAGTGGCAGTACGGATCCAGAACTGACTGGGATACAGAAAGCAGAGAGTTGTGGTGAACAGCTGCTTTTCTGACTGGAGGGAAGTGTATAGTGGCGTCCCCCGGGGATCGGTATTAGGACCACTGCTCTTAATATACATAAATGATCTGGACTTGGGTATAGCAAGCACTGTTTCCAAGTTTGCAGCGACACAAAGTTAGGTAGGGTAGTAAACAGTGAGAAGGATAGTAGCCAACTGCAGGAAGACATAGACAAATGGTAAAATGGGCAGACACATGGCAGATAATAATAATAATAATCCTTGCATTTGATATAGCGCTTTTCACGTTGGGAGGACATCCCAAAGCGCTTCACAGAACACACTGTAAAGTGAATTGACTGTATATTTGTTGGCAAACGCGGCAGCCAATTGCGCACAGCAATGTCCCACAAACAGTCGTAGATTGAAAATGACCAATTTATTATTGTTTTTGGTTTTGGAGGGATTATTATTAGGCTCTGTGTGGAGTAAGGAAACTTGCCCAAGGTTTCGCCCTGTCTGGAATTGAACTCAGGTCTCTCGCTTGCAAAGCGAGTGCTCTAACCACTGAGCTACAGGACTCCACGAGTTGAGATGAGTTTCATTGTGGAAAAATGCGAGGTAATGCATTTTGGTAGAAAGAATGAGGGGAGACAATACAGGCTGGTAATACAATCTTAAGGGGGGTTAAAGAACAGAGAGATCTGGGGGTGCAGGTAAATGAATCCTTGAAAGTGGCAGGACAGGTAGATAAGTCTGTAAAAAGGGCACATGGGATACTAGGCTTTATAATTAGGGATATAGAGTGCAAGAGTCAGGAGGTTATGATTAACCTATATAAAACACTGGTTAGGCCTCAGTTAGAATACTGCACCCAGTTCTGGGCACCACACTGTAGGAAGGATGTTAAGGCATTGGAAAGGGTGCAGAGGAGATTTACGAGGATGGTACCAGGAATGAGGGACCTTGATGATGAGGAAAGGCTGGAGAGGTCGGGATTATTCTCATTGGAGCAGAGAAGGTTACGAGGAGACTTAATAGAGGTCTTCAAAATCATGAGGGGATTTGATGGGTTAGAAAGAGAAAAACTGTTTCCACTGATGGGTGTGTCGGTGACTCGAGGTCACAGATTCAAAATAGTCTCCAAAAGAAGCAGAGGGGAGGTGAGAAGAAAGTTTTTCACGCAGCGAGTTGTTTGAATACATTGCCTGAAAGGATGGTCGAGGCCGATTCTATAACTACTTTTAAAAACGCGGTGGACGGGTATTTGAAGAGGACAGGTTTGCAGGGTTATGGGGAACGGGCTGGGGAGTGGAAGTGACATTAATTGCTTAATTAAAGAGCTGGCACAGACTTGATGGGCTGAATGGCCTCTTTTTGTGCTGTACGATTCTATGATTCTATGATTCTATAAGCTGCAAAGTTTTGCTGCTGTGCATGAGTTTGGGCAATGTTCCCTGATGACATTTTCAATTAGTTTGAGTGCATAATTCTCAAAAAAAAAGATGTTGACCCTTTTAACCTAGCAAAAAAAATGGTCACTCAATTCACAACTGTTTGTGAGACACAGTCAATTCATTATAATATATCCTGTGAAGTGCTTTGAGACATTTCGACGACATGATAAGGCACTATATCAAATGCAAGTATCTTGCACACGTGAAGTTAAAAAAAAAACTTACATTTGTTACTGCGCCTTTTACGCAAGAGGATGTCCTAAAGTGCATCTCAGGATATTTTGTAGAAGGTTTTGTGGCGAATGCAGCAGCTAATTTGACACAGCAGTCTTCCACAAACAGCTATGAAGTGAATGATGAATTGTATTTAGGGGATTGTTGGTTAGGTGGAAACTCCTCTTTTCCAATAGTGCCAGGGGATATTTTAACATCCACGTGAACAGGCAGTCGGGACCTCAGTTTAACATTTCATCTTAAGGACGGTACCTCCAACAATGCTCCAATGCATGACCCCAGCACTGAATTGGAGTGTCACAATTGGAAGTTTAAGACATTGTGGTTGAACCTTTAGCAAAATGATGTTGACACATCAGCATCTTGCCGTCTTATGGCGACAATTTGCTTTAAGACTTTCTCCTGCCTCAAAGTGCTTCACAGGATTTATTGAACAGTGTGTTCTATAGCAAACATGGCCACCAATTTTGTGCACAGCAGTGTCCCACAGAGCTCCATGCAGGGAATGACCTGGGGAATCGTTGGTCAGGCCATTGAAAGCACAAGCAAAGGGACCGAAAGCAAGAAGCAGGGTTTCCACTGCCCGCTATAATTCCCTCTTATAGTGCAGAGGATGAGATGCAAAACTAAAGGAATGGGTGAAGGCTTTTCACCCCATCGAGTCTCTTGATGTCCGACAGGCAGGACAGCAGTAGTCCTGGAGTTGCGGGTGGAGGCAGAAAGATAGAGATGGGTGTCATCTGCATACATATGGAAGTTGAAGGAGCATGTAGATATAGAGGAGAGGAGAGTTCTTATCTCTCTCACCATCTCCATTTTGTTGCCTCTAACGGTTTCTCCTCCAAACCCCCGCACTGACACATCTGGTGTCCCCCAGGGCTCTGTCCTTGGCCCTCTTCCTCATTAATATCTACATGCTCCCCCTTGGTGACATTATCTGCAGACATGGGGTCAACTTCTACATGTATGCGGATGGCTCCAACTCTATCTTTCTGCCTCCACCCTCACCTCCAGGACCACTGCTGTCCTGACAGACTGCCTGTCGGACATCAAGTCCTGGATGAGGGCAAATTTCCTACAGTTGAATGTGAACAAGACTGAGGCCCTCCAGATTGGCTCGCGCCAGCGCCTCAGCATCTCAGGCTCTGGCAGCATCAACCTCCACGGTTGCACACTTCAACTCACCGCCAGTCAGGAACCTCGGTGTCTTGTTCGACCTTCAACTGTCTTTTCTCCCCTACATTCAAGCCATGACCCGCTCTGCCTTCCCTCACCTCCGTAACATCGCCCGACTCTGCCACTACCTCACCCTCAGGCCACTGAAACTCTTGTTCATGCCTTCATCATCTCCAGGCTCGACTGTGCAAACGCCCTGCTTGTCGGCCTTCCCAACTCCTCCCTCCACAGGCTGCAGATAATCCAGAACTCTGCAGCCCGTGTCCTCTCCCGCACCAAACTCTGTGACCTCATCTCCCCCATTCTCGCCCGACTCCATTGGCTCCCTATCCTTCAGTTCAAGATCCTGGTCCTCACCTACAAAGCCCTCCATGGCCTCGCTTCACCCTATCTCTGTAACCTCCTAATCCCCTACCAACTCGCCCGCTCCCTCTGCTCAGCCGGCTCCAGCCTGCTCCCAAGTCGCCCGACCCACCTGCCCCACCATTGATGGGAGAGCCTTCAGCCACTCTACCCCCAACCTCTGGAATTCCATCCCCCAGTTACTCCGCCTCGCCCCCACCTTAGCCTCCTTCAAGTCCCGCCCCAAAACCCTCTTCTTCGACCATGCCAACGGCCACCCCCCTTTTCCCTCCCCTCCCTTCTCCCTCCCTGACCCCAGCTCGGGTCTGAAATGCTGTACACTGTCCAGCGCCTTGAGATGTTCTCCCGACGTGAGAGGCGCTATACAAATGTAATCTTGTTGTTGTTTGGCCAGTTCATTAGGTCATGGTAGATCTTTTGTTTGCCAATTTCTGCGCCTTCTCTCCCTGCATAAATCTTGCGTTCGATCATAAATACCTATAATGTTGACATATTTCCAAAGCATCAGACAAAACATTGTTGTCAAGTGTAGTGTAAAAATATATTTTTTTAAATTCATAAGAGCATGGCAGGCCATTGACCAGTCATTTACTACCATAGAGCCATCGTCATTCAGAGCACAGATATAAGCCATTTATCCCATTATGTCTGTGCTGACTTTGTGAATAGCAATCCATTCAATTTATCCAACTTTTTTTTCCCCCCTCTGCCCCCCACCTCTATATCTCTGAATATAACTCCTCTAGATATTGATCTATGAGTTCCCTCTTGAAATCTAACATGAAAAGTGATTTTATTTTTCTGGTGTCGGAGAATTGGGAAAAGGATATGAGCTTCCAAACATTTTATATATTCAAAACTGTTTTTAGTGAACGGCTCCCCTTTCCCTTCTCTGTCTCCCCCAACCCCCCCCACCTTGTACGGTCACTCACAGCCTCACCAGGGCAGCCCTCCATCAAAGGACGATATAAAGGGATTCCCCTGTGTTAAAGAGACCAGTTTCACTGCTTAAGTCTGTGGTAGCATTACCCCTGCACGTATTAGCATTGGAAGCAGTAAAACCGGTTGACAAATCAGCCAGGGGCAGATC